TTTTTCGAGATTCTTCGAGATTCCTTCAGATTCCTCCAGGGAAAGTGACAGAATCTCGAAGAATCTAGAAAAATCTGAAAAAGTCTGCAAGAATCTAAAAGGAATTGTGAGCATCTGTAACGATCTGAACAACACTAGAAAATTTTTAAGAATCTTGAAGATTTCTGATGGTGTTTTTGAAAGAATTTGAAAAGTTCGAAGGAATCTGAAAAACTCCAAAGAGAGAACCAGAAAGAATCCAAATAATCCGAAGAGAAGTGGCGTAAAACAATGAAAGAATTTGAAAAATACTTAAATTCTCTCAAATTCTTGCAGATTTTTTCGATACTCTCTCAGATTTTCTTAAAATTTTTCACCTTTCAGATCCTTCCAGATCCTTTCAAATTTTTCCACAATGCTTTAAAGTTCTCAAGGTCGTTCAGATTCTTCCAGATTCTTCTAGATTTTTCGAGATTCTTCGAGATTCCTTCAGATTCCTCCAGGGAAAGTGAGAGAATCTTGAAGAATCTAGAAAAATCAGGAAGAGTCTGCAGGAATCTGAAAGGAATTGTGAGCATCTGAAACAATCTGAGCAACACTAGAAAATTTTTAAGAATCTTGACGATTTCTGATGGTATTTTTGAAAGAATTTGAAAAGTTCGAAGGAATCTGAAAAATTCGAAAAGAAGTGTCGTAAAAAAATTAAAGAATTTGAAAAAATCTTAAATTCTCTCAGATTCTTCCAGACTTTTTCGATAGTCTCAGATTCTCTTAAAATTTTTCACCTTTCAGATCCTTCCAGATCCTTTCAAATTTTTTCACATCGCTTCAGATTCTTCCAGATTCCTCTAGATTTTTCGAGATTCTTCGAGATTCCTTCAAATCCCTCCAGGGAAAGTGAAAGAATCTCGAAGAATCTAGAAATATCTTAAAGAATCTAGACAAATCTGGATGAGTCTGCAGGAATCTGAAGGGAATTGTGAGCATCTGAAACTATCCGAACAACACTAGAAAATTTTTAAGAATCTTGAGGATTTCTGATGATGTTTTTGAAAGAATTTGAAAAGTTCGAAGGAGTCTGAAAAATTCAAAAAGAAGCGTCGTAAAAAAATGAAATAATTTGAAAAATCTTAAATTCTCGCAGATTCTTTCACATTTTTTCGATAGTCTCAGATTCTCTTAAAATTTTTCACCTTTCAGATCCTTCCAGATCCTTTCAAATTTTTCCACATTGCTTCAAAGTCCCGAAGTTGTTCAGATTCTTCCAGATTCCTCTAGATTTTTCGAGATTCTTCGAGATTCCTTTAGATTCCTCCAGGGAAATTGAGAGAATCCTGAAGAATCTAGAAAAAACTTAAAGAATCTAGAAAAATCTGGAGGAGTCTGCAGGAACCTGAAAGGATTTGTAAGGAGCTGAAACAATCTAAACAGAACCGAATAATTTTAAAGAATCTTGAGTATTTGTGATGGTGTTTTCGAAAGAATTTAAAAAGTTCGAAGGAATCCGAAAAATTCGAAAGAGAGAACCAGAAAGAGTCCAAAGAATTCGAAAAGAAAAGTCGTAAATAAAATGAAATAATTTGTAACAATCTTAAATTCTGTCGGATTCTGCCAGATTCTTTCGATACTCTCAGATTCTCTCAGAATTTTTCTCCTTTCAGATCCTTCCAAATTTTTCCACTTCAGTATCCTCAAAATCGTTCAGATTCTTCCAGATTCTTCTAAAATTTTCGAGATTCCTCGAAATTTCTTTAGATTCCTCCAGGGAAATTGAAAGAATCTCGAAGAATCTAGAAAAATCTGGAAGAGTCTACAGAAATCTGAAAGGATTTGTAAGCATCTGACACAATCTGAACAGAACTGAAAAATTTTAATAATCTTCTAGATTTCTGATGGTGTTTTTGAAAGAATCTGAAAAGTTCGAAGGAATCTGAAAAATTCGAAAGAGAAAACCAAAAAGAATTCGAAAAGAAGACTCGTAAAAGAAAATGAAAGAAATTGAAAAAATCGTAAATTATCTCAGATTCTTCCAGAATTTTTCGATATTCTCAGATTCTCTCAGAATTTGTCCCCTTTCAGATTCTTCCAGATCCTTTTAAATATTTCCACATCACTTCAGAGTCCTCAAAATCGTTCAGATTCTTCTAGATTTTTCGAGATTCTTCGAAATTCCTTTAGATTTCTCCAAGGAAAGTAAGATAATCTCGAACAATCTAGAAAAATCTGGAAGGGTGTGTAAGAATTGAAAGAATTTGTAAGGAGCTAAAACAATCTAAACAGAACGAAAAAATTTTAAAGAATCTTGAGGATTTCTGATGGTGTGTATTTTCGAAATATTCCGAAAAGTTCAAAGAAATCGGAAAAATTCGAAAGAAAGCACAAGAAAGAATCTAAAGAATTCGAAAAGAAGAGCCGTAAAGAAAATGAAAGAATTTGAAAAAAACTTAAATTCTTTCTCAGATTCTTCCAGAATTTTTCATCTTTGAGATCCTTCCAGATCCTTTCAAATTTTTCGACATCACTTCAAAGTCCTCAAAGTCGTTCAGATCCTTCCAGATTCTACTAAATTTTTCGAGATTCTTCGAAATTCCTTTAGATTCCTCTCGGGAAAGTGACGGAATCTCGAAGAATCTAGAAAAATCTGGAAGAGTCTGCAAGTACTGAAAGGATTTGTAAGGAGCTAAAACAATCTAAACACAACGGAAAAATTTTAAAGAATCTTGAGGATTTCTGATGGTGTTTTTGAAAGAATCTGAAAAGTTCAAAGGAATCTGAAAAATTCGAAGGAAAAAACCAGAAAGAATCCAAAGAATTCGAAATGAAAATGAAAGAATTTGAAAAAATCTTAAATTCCTTCAGATTCTTCTAGAATTTTTCACCCTTCAGATCCTTCCAGATCCTTTCAAATTTTTCCACATCACTTCAGAGTCCTCAAAATCGTTCAGATTCTTCCATATTCTTCTAGATTTTTCGAGATTCTTCGAAATTCATTTAGATTCTTCCAGGGAAAGTGAAATAATCTCGAGGAATCTAGCAAAATGTTAAAGAATCTATAAAAATCTGGAAGAGTCTGCAGGAATTTGAAAGTAGTTGTAAGCATCTGAAACAATCTATACAACACTAAAAATTTTTAAGAATCTTGAGGATTTCTGATGATGTTTTTGAAAGTGTCTGAAAAGTTCGAAGGAATCTGAAAAATTCGGAAAAGAGAACCAGAAAGAATCCAAAGAATTCGAAAAAAAGGGTCGAAAAAAAATTTAAGAATTTGAAGAAAACTTAAATTATCTCAGATTTTTCCAAAATTTTTCGATACTCTCAGATCCTCTTAGAATTTTTCACCTTTCAGACGCTCCCAGATCCTTTCAAACTTTTCCACATCACTTCAGAGCAGAAAAAATCCAAAAAATTCGAAAAGAAGTGTCATAAAGGTAATGAAAGGATTTGAAAAAATCTTAAGTTCTCTCAAATTCTTCCAAATTTTTCCAGATCATTTTAGATCCCTGCAGACTCTTTCAGATTCTTCTAGTTTCTTCTAGATTCTTCTGAATTCTTCTGAATTCTTCGAAATAACTAATATCCATCTACCAAGATAAGAATATCAAACATTTTTACGTGTATTTTTAAAACATTTTATTGGCCAGAAATATATCGGTCAGAAATAATAAATATAATTATGAGGCCAATGGAATTAAATAGGAAAAACTAAAACTGACCATAGTCATCATAATTTTGTTGTGTAATCCTAAATTAAATGAAACATTTGAGGTTATTATGGAACTTAACATTTTAAATTAATAATTTTTACTATTCTTACGCTCGAATCCGTAATTTTCGAGATCGAAGCCGGTAAAAGCGTTACGATGTTCCTGTTGTGCGTTTTTGTCCCTAGAGCACTGTCTAGCATCGACAAGTTTAAAATTGAAATCGTGACATACCGAAACAATTTAAGTTGGAAAATTGGTAAATCCATCAATACTGGTGCAAGCCGACAATAAAATGTGAGCAAAAGGTTAAAAGTGAGCTCGACAGTGCTACATCCATCGCGCCCTAATAAATTTCTATACAATATTTCACTAAAATAGAATAGCGCTTATGTGTTAATTACGAATCAATCACTGCCATATTTATCAAAGAGTCGGAATTAATTTTGATTTACATGTCAAACACAGACTGCACCACATCTACATTTTATATTGCCGAAATAATGGCGTCATGGCGACAAAATTAATTAGCGATGGAGCGTCCCGGTTGTGCTGACGCTGCAAAAAATTCACGATTGTATATTTAAAAGGGAAATTATTGTTCTCGTTTCTGAGCAAATCGTTCTCTGTATCTTTGAAAAATATAGTTTTATTAGAGCGACAATGATCCTGTTAAAATCAGTTATGCCAACTGTAGTACGTCACTCATAGCCAATTCTGGCCGGTGTTTTTGACAGCTCGTTATAAATCAAAGTGCCACATTGATTTGCGTCGGCTATGAAGCATTTCTTGCGGTATTGTCGGAACTGACTATTTAAACAAGCAGAATATTCGCTTTTGCTTTGTAGTAGTGATCCGGAATGTTGTTGTTGTTACTTTTTCAAAGAATATTCCGTCGGATTTGTTGACGACAGAACGTTCCTTTGAATATTACTCTAAGTGTATCCTGATAGAAAGTTTTTTATTAAAACTTTCCAACTGATTCATACAAGCACACTCGAATAAACAAATAAAAGAAGCATTTTCCGCTACACTTGCGGTATCGACTTCGTCGAGACCATTTTCTCTATTTCTGTAATGTAACAAAATGTAAGAGTTGGATCGTAATAAAGAAAATCCATGTCAAAACGAGGGCTGTGCGATGAAAAATAACTTGTAGCAGATGCAGTTGACTAGAGAGAATTATGAAAAAATGATTAAATGTGTAAAATTGCCGGGGCGATGGTAATCGGATCACTCTAACGTTCGTGTTCGTTTTACAAAGGGGTCGCTTGTTATCACCGATAATTTGACGTTGAGTGACACAAGAACAACGAATCATTTCGAAAAGAACTATATTTGAAGGAACAAATTCGACAAGAAATTCAAATACAATACAGGTTACGTTTTACAACACTCTTCGTGGAACACTTTATATTTCAAGTTGCACTTATACACTTATCAACAGTGACTCTTAATTAACAATGACCGGAATTTAGTCGCTACTGTCATCAATTTCGATAAACTCCGTGAAAATCCACCCGGAGCAAGACTCCTTCAACGCGTTAAATTGCTTATTAGTCACGGGACCGATGTAAGACAATTGGAAAGATTGGGCGTGATTCTTCCTCTTCGCCAAAAGTTTGAAAAACTTGCAAGACCGTATCTTCACCCTGTCAAAATTAATTTTCCCCAAGTTCTTACACCGTGTGAGCAACTTACAAAGAGCGCTACTTCGCAAGTAAATCCGTTCCGGAGAACCCCAACAGTCCTCGATTGTTATGGACTCCAAGAGAGCCGAATACTTCGCCACGTTCTCCACAATGACGTCGGCGTCATTTCTGTTGCTTATCTTAAACCGCTTTATCAGCGGCGAGGACTGGATCCACCGCTTCACGATGTGTGTGGGGATGTTCCTGGAAGCACTCACGTTCGTCCAGGCCGAAGACATCATGGCGATGGCGTGCCATCTGGTACACACCGGGCGCACGTTGAAGTAAAGGTCTTCTATGTGGAGGAAGGAGAAGATGTAGAGGAGGATTTCGTTCGGCAGGGAGTTGATGTGGTCGAAATTTCGCAGGCGTTTCTTCTCGATGGGAAGCTGGGTGTTGATGGGCGCTTTTCGTTTGTGGCCTGCTTGGTTGCGCAGGTTGTATGGTTTTTTGTCGAACCATAGCATTGTGAATACATGGGGCGCATTAGACTGAAATTTCACTTGTGACAGAAATTGACAGAAAATGCCACTGTCACCGGGATGATTGAAGTAAGAAATGTAGAGAGAAACCAGAGTTTACGAAACTTAGATTGTCGTACATTGAAAGGTGGAGGATGCTGTGGAAACATCCAAAACGTGCGGGGTTATGGCAGGGCGCGACGAGTCAGGCCAAGGTTATATTGGGTCAGGTCAAGTCAACTCGGTCAAGTCAGGTCAGGCCAGATTATTGCCTCTAATAGGTCCATAAAATTATACTGGTGTACAAAATATATTCTTTACTGTACTAGGAATTCACTCTGCATAAAATATTCAAGATTTCTTGTTCGGCTTCTATGGCTACAGTAATTTATAGCGTACGGACCACAAATGCCTATATCATTTTGGATATAATCATGTTAAAACTGCGTTTTCGTAACCCCAGGAGTACGATAAGATGATTCTCCAGTTTCCGTCTGTTTGTCTGTCGTCCGTCTGTGTCGATTTTTATTAGATATTAGATATTCTCCGAAACTACTGGACCGATTGTCGTCAAATTTTGTATCTATATTAGGAATATCATGTAGATGGTAAAACGCTAACCGAAATTTGACCAACCATCCCCAGCAACAATTTGATGACGTCCCTTCAGACTTTTTTTAGTAAACGCCATTTATTTTTTTTTAAATCAGGTAGTCTTAATTCTTGTGGTTTATGAATCTGCGTTTGCAAAAATTCCAAATTGCGTCATCATATAATAATTCGATTGGCACGTGCGTTACAATTTTTTTTCTGGATTATACATATCAAGAATGATTCGCATATTTTGTCGAAATTTTGATAATACAGTAATGTTGCACCCGACTATATTTAATAATAATAAAATTGGAATTATAATAGTAGTTAACAGCTACTTATTAAAACGATATTCAGAACATTATTTAAAAAATTCGAACATAAATATAAAGAAACTAATTAGTGTCAACTTAAAACAAAAAATTGTTACACTATAAATCATAATCTGACAGCAATGAAAGTAAATCGCATTGTCCACTTCAGCAAGGAAGGGTTGATTAAAAAAAAATGGGTTTTACGTTTAAAAAATGGATTTTCATTGCCAATATTTCAAAAATTTTGGTTCATGGCCAGCAAAACGCTATATTTTTTTAATCAGCTCGTCGAAATTTATATCCTGGAATGTAGTAAGATAAGAGTAATTTTGGCAGATAAGATATTCTCTAAGAAAAGAGAGGGTGGGTGGGCGGGGCTAGTACCTGCTAAGATAAGAGTAATTTTGGCAGATGAGATACCTTCTAAGAAAAGAGAGGGTGGGTGGGCGGGGCTAGTACCTGTTAAGAAAAGAATAATTTTGGCAAATGACATACCCTCTAAGAAATGAGAGGGTGGGTGGGCGGGGGTAGTATCTGCCAAGATAAGAGTAATTTTGGCAGATGAGATACCTGCTAAGAAAATAACGGGTGGGCGGGTAACACTGATTTTGCCAAATGATATACCCTGTACCTTTCATTTTCTTAGAGGGTACGTCATTTGCGAAAATCAGTTTTATCTTAGGAGGTACTAACCCCGCCCAATCTTATCTTAGCCCCGCCCACCCACCCTCTAATTTATTAGAGGGATCTCATTTGCCAAAATCAGTCTTTCTTAGTAAGTACTAGTAATTTTTAATAATTCCTGAACTAGCTCGCTGCGCTCGCATTCTAACCTATGGGCTCTAGATTTTCTAAATGTCTGATCTTCTAAATTAAATTGCCCTAAAAACAAATTTTTAAAATGCAAGCTCAGTGAGCAAAATTGAAATTTCTATAGTCCCATCAACTTCAGTACGATTTTCGAAATCATAAAACTTTTTGAAGTTGGGAAAATTCTTTATTTATAATTTAGCCTCTCCTGGACATTGATGAATAGTTTCAGTAGACTTTAGTAATCGTAGACCTTTTTGAAACCCTTTTTTTTTAAGTAAGGAAATTCTTTGTTAATAACTTAGCTTCTCGGGGACATTGAAGAGTAGAAATTTTTAATAATTCCTGAACGAGCTCGCTGCGCTCGCATTCTAACCTTTGGCCTCCGGGTCTTATGGAATTAAATTGCTACGACATTTTTAATCCTAGACCTTTTTGAAATTCGCCAAGTAAGAAAATTAGACTAATTTTGATAGATGGCATAACTTCCAAGAAAATAAAGGGTGGGTGGGCAGGGCTGATACTTGCCAAGATACCCAAGATTTTGTCAAATGATATACCCTCTACCCTTCATTTTCTTAGAGGGTATGTCATTTGGCAAAATCAGTCGTATCTTAGTAAGTGCCATTCTGTCCACTCGCCGTTCATATTTTTAGAGAGTAGGTCATTTGCCAATATCAGTCTTATCGTAGCAGGTACTAGTCCCGCCCACCCACCCTTTTTTTTCTTGGAGGGTATGTTATTTGCCAAAATCAGTTTTATCTTAGCAGGTATTAACCCCACCCACCCGCCCTCTTTTTTCTTAGAGGGCTATCATTAGCCAAAATCAGTCCTATCTCAGCAATTTTTGAAGAAATACGTGAATGAATTATCACACCGTTTAAAAAGTGATTAGTTATATTAAATTGTAAATGATTCCGTTAATTCTTTAAACATAGAATATATACAGGATGTCCGACACCTCACTAATTTATTAGAGATATAAAAAAAATATCGAAATAATATTGTTTTTAAAATATGTTGCAATCTTTTATGGTTTATTGTGGCATCAGTTAAATCAAATTTTAACATGCAGAGCGTTTATACAAAAAAATCTAAGGCACTATAATTTTTAAATAACGATATTTAAGTTTTTTGAAGTAGAACACTTGTATTTTATTACTTGAAACAAAAAAAAAATAAGAAGGCGTAAAAAATGTAGGGTGTTCTAGTTGTAAAAACTATTAGAAAATTGTATCTAATAATTAAATTTTCTTTATAAGCATTGCAAAATATTGTAACATAGACTTCAAAAATAACCCTATTGCGAATTTTGGGTCCCTTCCGTTGCTAAAAAAATCAAGAAGATTGGAATAAAGTGGCAACGTCGCATCGGAATTTCAAAAATAAACTTTGATTATGAAGCCTAAGAAGAACTCAATCGGAATATATGAAGTATTTCATCTGAAAAAATTAAGTTGTTTTTTAACGCCTTAAAAAGAACGGAAGACTACAATACAAGTTTAGTTTTTGACTTTTTTTTCTAGTTTTCATTTCATTTAAATTCGAACTCATAAGACTTTTATTTTTATAAAACTGATCGAAAGCTTTTTCAGTTAGTGCAGTGGTGGCGTAAAGGGGGGGCGGTGGAGGCAGTCCGCCCCGGGTACCAAGCATCAAGGGGTGGCAACGACAACTCACTCGCACACCCAGAGAATACTTACTTACACAAGAATCACTCTGCAAAAAAAAATCGGGACGACAGACAGACGGACAAACAGACAGACACAAACATGTTTTAAGTTTCATGTTGTGAAAAGAAGTCTGCACATATTAAAACAAAAAGGCAAAATGTAAGCCCGCCCACCCACCCTATCGCAATTGTGACGATTTTTTACTGCAAAGTACTTATTTCTTTACATCAAATTAAAAACATCGTGAGCATCGTGTTGTTCAAAGAATACTATGTATATTAAGAAAAAAAAGCTTAATATAATGGATTTTAGGCAACTTTTCCCAAACTCAATTTTTCAGTGCTTATAAAAATTTGGCACTTTTTAAAACACTTTTGAAAATCAACTAAAAAGTTTTTTTTATAGATTTCGATATTCAAAAGTTATTTTCGGCTTCATTTCTGTTTATTTAACTTTTTCCATTTTTTTATAAATTCAAATTTTGGTCCGTGACCACCAAGAGAACGCAATGTTTTTCGGATATGAAAAACAATAAAGTTTGATTTTGCGATTTTTGTTTTACCCTCTATAAAGTAAAAACGTGTGACGTAAATAACAACAAAAATCGAAAGTTCGAAAAAAGAAAAAATACAAAACTCTCCTGGAATGTCAAAAAACAGAAAAATGAAAAATCTAAGAAGCTAGAACTCGAGAAATCAAAAAATCGAAAACCGAAAAAATGAAGAAGGAAATTGAAAATCTGAGAAATCGAAAAATAAAAAAATTGAAAAGTGTAAAAACTGTAAAACCGAATGAAATCTTGCAAGCGCATTAAGGTTATCGTAGTGGTTAATCAAAGTTTATTCGTCTATCCCCTTCAAACAATTGATGACGTCATTTCAAAATTTTGCCGAATAAATCCTATCGAAAATGTACAAAATATGATGAATTTATACTTGCGATCTATAATAATTTCATTTATATTTTTACTTCCCGAGCGTAAGCAAACAAAGTATTGTAATCAAGTCCTCGGTTTACAACGAATGAAAAAATTCATTACAATTGACTTAGGGCGGGTGGGCGGGGCTTATATTTTGCCTTTTTTTATTATGCGTTGTCATCTTTTTTCAACAAGAAACTTAAACATGTTTAAAATGGTAAACTTGTGATGACAAGTATGGACTTTGCAATTACGCTCCGCCCCCCTATCTAACAACGAATGAAAATTCATCACAATACGTATGTTTAAAAAAAAAGAAAAAAATCGACGATGGGTGGAAAGTGTATTATTTTGCATATTTTGAATTCAATTTACTCGGCAAAATTGTAGATAATGTCATCAAATTTTGGGGGAGAAAAACAGAAAAAAAATTATCAACATATGTATTGCTTTTAGGAAATATCGATTTTGCAACCACGATCCGCCCCTCGACCTGACAACCAATAAAATTTCATCACGATTGAGATCGAGGCGGGTTTGGGTGGGGTTTAATCTTTGGCTTTATTTTTTTTCTTAATATGCATTGCAATCTTTAACACGATACTCAAAAACAGGTTTTAATTTCTTGCAGACAAACAAGGATTTTGAAATTAAGCTCCCCCTCCTTGGCTCACGATGAATAAAAAAATTGTCAGAATTGAGACAGGGTGGGTGGGCGGAGCTTATATTTAGTCTTTTTATTA